TGACCACAGATTTGTACAACGACTTTCTTAACAAATCTCTGAAGCCCTACGTCGGTAAAAACAAGTTTCTTCTTCTCGTCGACTCCTGGGGAGGGCAAACAAAACCAGAACTGTACGATGAAACTTTTCAAGACGACAAAAAATTACCTACCTGCACTATAAAAGTAATTCCACCAAAGTGTACTCCTCTAGTACAACCCTGCGACGTTTACTTTTACAGACAGGTGAAAAATTTTATTAAACGCTTACAAAATTCTGCCACTTTGATTGAAAAAGAAAAAGAAATTACTTCCCGCGAAGATTGCATTAAAATCCAATCAATAGTGCACCACCAATTATCATCTCCGATCTTCACTGATATGATACAATACACCTGGTTCGCCTCGAAATTAACGAACGACAGAACAATTTTCAGAAATGTTAACGAAGTTTGCTTTTCACTAGACCCTCTCAAAACTCCTTGTACATGTAAGCAACCATCATTTATTTGTTGCTCACATTGCCGAAATGTCTGTTGTTTTGAATGCTTTTATGATAATTATCATTCGGTTTCTTGTAAATAATAAACAAAAATCGGATTGTGAATAAATATAAATACAAATATAATTCCTATTCTTCTTGACTTCATTATTATTCTCCCATACACAATATTTGATGTATTATATCGCCTATGAATATTTTACATTACTTCCCGCGAAGATTGCATTAAAATCCAATCAATAGTGCACCACCAATTATCATCTCCGATCTTCACTGATATGATACAATACGCCTGGTTTGCCTCGAAATTAACGGACGACAGAAAAATTTTCAGAAATGTTAACGAAGTTTGCTTTTCACTAGACCCTCTCAAAACTCCTTGTACATGTAAGCAACCATCATTTATTTGTTGCTCACATTGCCGTACAAGACAACGAACAGAACTTCTTTGTTCAAAAACAATTTGTTTATCCAATGGCTACAAGCGGAATCATAACAATAATTATAATAGCCATTGTAACATATATAATTATAAAAAATAAAAAGAGGAGAATGAAACGACCATCGGTCAGGATATACGATGAAGAACCACGTATATCTTACGGACTTCCAAGACCTATACTAAAGCGTAGTCTAAGTACGCGATTTTAGATAGTAAGAAACGATTATAACAAATATTATATACGGGAAAAATAATGTATTCGTTAGAATAAGAAAGGTTATAACTAAAGAAAAACGTTGTACCTCCGTTTTTCATTTTTCAACAGGGGAGGGATGTTATAGCCCAAAACGGCTATAACCAAATTAGCATAATTATTAATATTATTATTATTAAATATTATTTAATATTATTAATATTAAATATTATTTAACGTCTTCCGACTATAACTCGAAGCCGAGAGATTTGCTGTTATTATGAGTCACAATCAATTATTGAATCGGTGTTTCTATAATTGAAACGGACTCACAATCAATTATTAAAAACACATATACGATTTCTCCGCAGAGGGTCCGCCTTATATCGCCGCTTGACCGCTTTCTACTTCCAGGTTGGCTCGCTCGACCTTCGCCGCGTAGCGGCGCCGTCCGGAACTACGCGCGGACGCGTGAGCGCGTGGGCCGCCAAGTTGCGGATCGCACTATTGTATCCCCGATTGTGCTTAATGTGGCGACCTACGGCAGCCACAATATCCATTTGATTATTCGTGTTTATTTGGATTGACAACAATATGGATTAGAATGTAATGATTTTAGATTGGAAATAATCCGCGAAAGCGATATTAAAACCGATTATAGTTCGTTCGGAATTAAAATCGATTACTTTTTAATCCGGGCGCGGATTGAACCGATTAAAACCGATTAAAACCGATTAAAACGGATTATGTTTTAATCGGTTTTAATCGACCATTTTTGGCAGGGTAGTCTGAGCTTAACGCTCAACGCTCGACGCTTGACGCTGCCATGTAAAAGCACCTTAACAGTTTATCTTATTTAGCATCTCTTTTCAATAGCGACTGCTTACACATCGATTCTTTGCATTGCATTATGGGTAATTGGGGCTCATGACTTAACCTTCTTATATATGTATAATCTTACTTAGAGAGCCTCTAGGAGAGAGAAGCGCCAACAGGTCATGTGACCAGCCATTTCGTGATATGCTGGCATAATATGTGCCGATTTGGACATTGCGACACCAATGCAGAGCAGATGTGATACGAATTTTCGGACCGAAGATATCAAATGTTTGAGGTTATATTACGCATATTACAAAATATAATGCATAATATAACCTCAAACATATGATATCTTCAGTCTGAGAATTCGTATCACATCTGCTCTGCATTGGCGTCGCAATGACCAAATCGGCACATATTATGCCAGCCAATCACGAAATGACTGGTCACATGATCCGTTGGCGCTTCTCTCTCCTAGAGGCACTCTAATCTTACTGCCAACCACGCTATCGTGGCGGCCTCTGCATTACTAGTTATTTCCTAGTGGTCGCCAGGTCGCCACACGTCCCTGGGGGCTTATTACGGTTTTTGAAACGAAGTAAAAATTACAAAAGTGAGGAGTAGATGAGTAAGGCCGGTTCTAACCCACCTTGCTTTGGAAACTCCTGTAAGAGTGAGAGATTGAACATGCGGATAAAGTGAGAAACTTAGATATCTGAGGGAGGCATGTCGGGCAGGGGGGAAGAAAAAGGGGAGTACGTATGGTGAGAGGGGAAGCGGGGTGTAGGGGGGTCGGGGAAGCCACGGAGCTCGAGCGGAATGAGAGGGGTGAGGGGTAGGGGATGATGAAATCGGGTTGAGAGATCGCGTTATCGCGTCAGATGCGTTAAAGACGCGAGACGCGGTCGACGCTTTATCTCCGACCTTGGGAGTCGCGATGACCCGTGACACGTAAATACGATAAATCGAAGACGACGAGATGAGAGAATATCGCGGAATCGCGGGCGGCGAACCTCGGCGCGATATGAGAAGCGCTTGTCATCGTTGCGCCTACCGATCGATTTTTCTGATCGACGCGTCGCGGTCGTCGCTTTATCTCCGACCCGAGGACCCGGGAGTCGCGATGAACCATAACATGTAAATACGGAAAATTGAAAATGATTAAATAATAAAATATCGCGGGCGAACCTCGGCGCGATACGAGACTCGTCGCGCGTACCGCGTAGATCTAGAAATAGATCGATGGATAGGTCAGGATCTAGCGTGGTTATAGCGTGGAAAAAACTAGCTGTCGTAGCTAAAAACTGCGCATGATAATTAGATTTCAGTCGTAATATATGAACAACAAACATCGTATCGTTAACCGAGATACCTATTTATTACATAGGTGAAACAGCGAACATCTCGCGATTAGCGGTGATACTCGTTTATTACGCGCAACAGCAAACTTTTTATAGTTTAGAAATGTATCATGCAAATCATGATTAGCGATGGTAGCGAAAATTTTTCCATAAAATCTAATGGAAGGAGGTCGAATAAAGAGAGGTTCTCGCATCGAAGGAGAGCGTTTTTATTTGTAACAGTACAGAGATACAAAGGCGCGCGTTATAATATAATATTATATTAATAGATGTGTTGTATGGAGGGATGCGTTGTTTTAATATATTAGGAGATGCTGGCGTCGTTTTATCTCTATTCGATACCCGGCGCGCGGGGATGGGGGGGTTTGCGATTTGTCATCTTTACTACTATAAAAGGATCGCGACGATTATAAAATATTAGTTTATTCTAAAATATTTTCAAAGC